AAGGGAAGGGAAGGGAAGGGAAGGGAAGGGAAGGGAAGGGAAGGGAAGGGAAGGGAAGGGAAGGGAAGGAGAAGGGTGAACTGACAGTTACTGAGCGTGCACCGAGGTGCACACCACTTTGCTACATGTGCGTGTTATCGTATAAGCACCCGTGAAGTAAGTACTAGGATTTCCTCTTTCTTCTTTTTGGATTTTGCCATAGGGTGGGTGCGCTCACCAGAGAGAGAGACAGAGGAGGGGGAAGTAAGAAATCACCCCCCAGGGGAGATGACCATGCCTCAATTCGTTCTCCTCCATTCACTTCTTGGGATTTGGGGCATGTGTGCACTCATTTCTGGCATGAGTTTTAAGCCACCCAGTCCGTGACTCGAACCTGGTGGGAGTCCAGCAACATAACCATTCTGCCACCTGCTGGTCACTAAATAATTCTTTTTAAAAAAGTTCCTGAAAGACTTAGTGCAGTAACTGGTACATACCATTTTGTATTATTATTATTATTACTGGCTCAACACTAAGACATCTTTGAATATGAAATGAATCCTTATTTTATTCTATTATTTTTAAAAGAACGTTTATTTTCTTTCTTTCTCTCTTTCTTCTTTCCCTTCTTCCTTTCTTCCATGACGGCGCAGCAGGGCCTGGACACTGCACTCCAACCCAATAACACATTTAACAACAACAATAATAATAAATGAAACTAAATAAATAATTCTTTTAAAAAGTCAGTTCCTAAAGACTAACTTCTGACCTTCAGACATCCTCCAAAGCCTTGGCCTGTACCTGGCTCTCTGGGAGGTCTGCAGACTTGAACCGCCCCCTTCCCGAGGGCGGCTTTACAGAGGTCTGGCCACTACAGCCCGTGAATGCTTACTTTATGTAACACGAGAAGAGGAGGGAACGCCCTGCTAACTGAACTGTGACGCTTCAAGTGTAATCCTCGTGGATTTTCCTCGTGGATTTTTTTTTAAAAAAGAGAGTGATTTTATTTATTTTATCATTATTATTATTAATTTGACCAGAGAGAGAGAGGAGAGTGAGAAAGCAGGCTGAACCTGGATCTGGTCAGCCATGTGGGAATCTAGCGCCTTATCCTCCATGCCACCTGCCAGCCCCAATGTCGCGGATTTAAGAGAAGCAGAGAATGTGCGAACGGAGGCTGCGGCAGGAGGTTCCGAGCTGGAGGCCAGCCTGGGCAACCTACCCAGACCTTGTCTCTGGAAACACCAGAAGCGCGTTAAATTAGCTTACGTAACGGTTTGCCACGACTGTTTTCCCAAACGAGAATAATCCGGAGTGTCCAGGGGGAATTGTTTACAAAAGATGTTCTGGTGTGGCCGAGGGGGAACCCGGGGTCTCCTTGCGGAAGGCCGGCTCACGTCCCTCCTCTGCTCTCCGCCTCCCTGCAGGACGCGCCCAAGCCCACCCCGGCAGCTCGCCGCTGCTCCGGCCTGGCCCGGCGCGCGCTGACCATCGCCTTCGCGCTGCTGATCCTGGGCCTCATGACCTGGGCCTACGCCGCCGGCGTGCCGCTGGCCTCCGA